TCACAATCTAGATAATTTTGCTATCGAAATTATTTTCTACAGAAAACATTACGGGAAGTTAGAACTCAATAAATAAATGTTCTCCTGAGTAAAGAACAACGCGTCATTTTTGCTAGGACTTCCCTTTTGATAAACTGTGATTTCCGTTCCTGGAATGTATGGAACAAATTGTAGGGAACAAAGTCAAGAAGAATGTTCTAATCATCATCATCATCATCATCATCATCATCATCATCATCACCATCATCATCATCATCATCATCATCATCATCATCATCATCATCATCATCATCATCTTTATCAACACGCAAGACTGACGTAGAAAAAACCCAGAAACAGAATAAAACAAACCCCCAAACATCAATGTTTCTCTAATTGTGTTTTAGGTGCAGGCTTACACGTTCTATCTTTGTTTTTCAACTCAATAGTGGGTTTATAAGGCCTTAAAAAGTACACCAAAAGACAAAATGTATAGGCTACTCGCTTTGCACCCAAAAGGTGTGAGTTCGATTCCCGTGAGTTCATGATTATCTAATCAAAGATTCTTATCCCATCTTTCTGTCTTGATGCAATACTTTATTCAGCCTAAGTTGACTCTGACAGACAAAATAGAAGCAGCCAGCCAAATTGTGTTGAAAGGTGTGTAAAAACATTCACAGTTAACAATTAATTAGTGTTTGCAACTCGAAAAGTCTAACTGGCAACGCGTCAAAGCTAAAGGAAAAAGCGCAAAGCAATGCTGAGTATTTTTTAAAAATGTATGCACGTAAATGTTTTAAAAAAAGATAATATGTTAACTTGCATTGAACTATATTTATAAGCCGTACAAATTCTTTCATATTCCTTTTAGAGAAACTAAATACTTGACTTACACTTTCCTTTTAAAGAATGTTAACCCGTACATCCCTGCTAAAAATCTTAGTAGGCCGCATAATCGACGTCAAATCTCTAATAAGCGGAAGCAATTAGTCGATCTGCACTCCAACGCACGCGCGAGGGAAAGGCACTGGAGTGTTTGCAGTCCTTGTCCAGTCCTCCCACATCTACAGCGATACTAAAAAAAGGATAGTGCAAGACACAGATTTTGTACTTGGTAACACCGGATGATCATAGTAATGATATGTCGTGTTTTATAACTGGCCGCGCCCACTTATTTTGGTCCTTAATATTTGTATATTTTTACCAATTATCCCATTTAATAATACCCTGAGATTTGGAGATTGTTACGTTCTGGGGTTTTTAAAATCTGTCCTCCCACGCTTCCCACGAGATGTTCCTCGAACGTCAGAGAGAAAGAGTAAAAAGGAAATATAAAGAGAGAGAGAGAGAGAGAGAGAGAGAGTGAGGGAGAGAGACAAGGAGAGAGAGAGAGAGAGATTTATTATACCTACTTTAGGCTGCCAGTGCCAGACATGAACATTAAGTAAACCCCAGGTAAACAAATCCAGTGCATGCGAGGAGAAATGTCTCCGCAAAACCCAAAACATCACAATAATATACAAGCAGAGAAATAAAGATGCAGTCCTGCTTGCATTTCATAGAAAAACAGAATAAACTGGTTTGGCCACCAGTTACGAAAGTCACCTAGTTAGTCTGCCTTTAAACCCCAAAACACCAAGAATTCAGGCAGCCAAGGAAGAGGTAGACCACCAAAAAAAGATGTATTGAGGGAGTCAAAGGAGCCCTAAGAAACTGGAACATCTCATTTGAAAGAGCTGCAGAGCGCAGAGTTGACCAACCATAGAAAACTGTATATTCCTTAGTCACTCAATGACAACAGACCTTTAAAGTCAAGAAAACAAAAACAATAACAACAAAAAAAAAGAGAATAAAAATTAAGTAAATTAAATCAAGAAACTAGTACAATGTGAAGTAAAGTGAATGTAAAAAGATGTAAACCCCCCCTAAAAAAAAACAACAACAACAAAAAAAAACAAATGAAAACGAATGAAACTGAAAGTTAAGTAAAGTGATAAAACAGTGTGTAGAGGTCATCTTGCGTTATTTTATCGCTTTATTGTGAACAATATTCTGATCAGTCCTTTTGATGTCGAATCCACACCAACACATAGTTTGATTAGGCCTATTAAAATCTAATGGGTTTTTTTCAGGGGTTGGCGTTTGCTATTATTTTTCGTTGTTGTCGTAGTCAGTGGGCATCACATGATACTGAAATTGTCAGTTTCGACAATACTTTAAAGCAAACCTTTTTGCTGTAAAATAAATGTGTGGATAAACTTGTTTTGTCAAGTACATACTTAACTATTTTGAAAAATGGGAGTTAAACAAACAGCTAATGATTGAAGTGCAGCTCGGCTCTGGGCCTGTCAAAGAATTTCTTTGAAGGTCACAGGCTGTGCAGATCTGACACGAATGCAAACAGGTTCTGATCAAAAGCCAGAATGAAAACAAGTAAAAGCTGTCAAGTTGTCAAATGTCAAGGTAGGTTCTTGTACATATCCCGGAGCCTGTAAAAATCGAAACCTCAAACAATGTCTGTTGACACGACAATAACCGCATCGCAAGGAAGGGAGGGAGGGTGGTAGGGCTTTAGAGTCAGGAAGAACGAAGCACTATTGCTCAACGTGGGAGAATTGAGACATGAGGAATGGTGTTGCATCCTGGGACGCGATGTGTAATTAGCATGGTGTAGGTGAATGGCTGTTTGTACAAGACTCAAGTGCTGACCTATTTCTAGACGTAATTGCCTCAGTATGGAGTTCGGAGTGAACGAACCCCCCCCCCCCACACACACACACACTTCGTGGGCCCGCCCTTAAAAATTTTATAACATGTTAGCTCGCGTGTCTATATAAATGCAAAGTGGCGCAGAATTATCCATTCAGTGCGCTCAGAACACTGAGCACTGTTATGTAAGAACGAATGCTCTGTGAACAGCATCAAAACTCTTGATTTAACAAATTTAACATTTTCCCCTACTTGCAACTTCAGCGATACTTTATTCCCGTCAAAATGGGGAAAACGTCTGAGTGCCCCTTCTCGCCCAGAAAGGTAGGTGGCAGACTCCTGTTTGCTGTTTGTCTCCCTAGACAAACACACGTATTGATCACGCTACACTAGAGGGTACTGAGTTCAACGCGCAGCCCGACCAATTGCTGGTGCCAGCCACGCAGCCCGGCATCCTTATTAATTGGTTATTATTCATATCTGTCCCACGTCTATTTTATGTCTATCGCAGTGGCGCAAAGGTTTCACGGAAAGTAGTGCTTCAGAAAATTGGATTTTACCTCACCAAAAAATAAAAAATAAAATTAATTATGAGTAATTTGGAAATTCGTTGATCGGTCGCGTCTTCTGAGAGTTTTATCAACACGTCTTTTTTCTTTTGCGTCATCTGAGGTAGAACAAAATTAGTGAAATTAAAGATATTCAAATAAAAAGGTAACTATTGAATATTGAGAAAAGGGCGAAAATATTGATTATGTCCATTTTGACGAATCCAGGCGATGTTTTTTTATGCTTTTATTTTCGAAAGTTAAAATTTCACAATTGTACGGGAAAACAGCTGTGAGGAAAACTTCAATCTAAAGGTTAAAGAAACCATCGTCAAGTTGATGTAAGATTCATTCTGTTTTGTAATTCAAGATCTTCAAATGGTTTCATAGCACAGTAGTTTATTTCTTAGCCAGTAACATGACTGTTGTTTTGTTTTTTTCACCTTATGAAAGTAAAATTGCTTCTGGCAGCAGAATAGACGAAGGTGTGGTTATCTTTTTTTCTTTTTTTTTGTTGTTGTTTAAGATCAGGTGTCGGTTTAATCAATATCTTGTCGTGGTGGGACTCTTCAGTAAGTTTTCTCGCGGGCACCAGAAAACAGCGTAGGCCGCCATGTGACATTGAGAGAGAACTAATTGATTTCCAATATGATGTGCCATTTCTCCTGCCTCCTACACATATAAGCAGTTAATCTCGTTTAAAAAAAACAACATTACAAGTGCCACGACGCAGCCTGTCAAGACTATCGTTATTTTCAGACAAGAGTTTGTGAGTCGTGATGTTTCTGGGATTATGTCTCTAAATCGGTTCAAGATGGTGCTGCTAAAAGCTATCAACGATGTGCATACTTCCCTGCAGTGTTGGTCGCGGGATTTATCATCTGCGAGTCCATTTCACGCTTCAAAGGTGTTGAGTTGTGTTAATCCATTTTTTAGGCAATGTAGTTTTTTTTCTAGTCTAATTTGTAGACAATGTTTTACTGGGTTTATTTTTAAGTGAACACAACTGCTATCTTTACCTTTGCTCTTATTTTGCATGAAGATGTCCTGAAATGCCCTCTCTGTTCTGTATGTTATGTTTATAATTATATTTTTGCATACGTTTAGATCTCTTCAATTTTTAATATTATTTATAAACATGTTTAAGAAAAAATCCTTGTTCAAACTTATGTTCATGAGTACAATTTTGTTATACTCACCCAATATAGAGGGAGGCACATGTCTTTTAAATTTTTGAAAAGTGCATGAACTAGTATTGTAATAAATGTCTTTCAATTGATGTCGCCACGATCTGCTGTTGTCGGAATGTGTGTACAACATCATACATTAAAGTGTCATGAATGTTGTGTACCTGGAGTTCAAATGTCGGTTTATTCAAATTACACACGCTTAATATGCCTGGCTTAAAAATAACAGAAGTTGCTCGCTCTTTCTTAAAAGCAAAAATGATAACTTTAAGACTACAAGACGAATGACCAAGAAAAACATTTAGCTCTAACCATAGATTACAAGATAAATAGAGAATAACATCGTGTGGGGTTCACAATACAGATCTTAAACGCTCCTTTCTCCTCTCAAAGAAAGATCTCATGAAACTCAAAAGGTTTGAAAGAAAAAGACGCAAAGAAACATGTCTCATAAATCATTAAACTGTCGTCTTTCAATAGGAACAAAACCCCACTACAAAACAAGACAAAACGAAAGAAAAAAAATCTTTAAAAATAAATGTTTAACCCTAACCTATTCTACCCTCTCCTTTCTCAGCAACCTTTACCAAAGCTTCCAGTTCCTGAGCTGCAGAGTACGATGGAGAAGTACCTGAGTCTGGTGAAAACTGTGATGTCACCACACGAGTTTTCCCGCACAAAGTACATCGTGGACGAGTTCTGCAAGACCCAGGCCCAAGGTCATGAACTCCAAGAGCACTTGCTCAAGCGACAACAAGGAATGGACAACTGGGTAGGACGCCATTCTTTTTACTATTAAATGTTGTCAGCATCAGTGACAATATTACAGAAAAACAATGGCAGCGACAGAAACACAAACGCATAATCAGATTTAAGATTTTGAATGTGATGCACGTCTCAACAGGATTCCTACTTGTGACATTTTAGTTCTGGAGTATTGAAGTCATAGAAAAAAGGACAGGACATGATTAGTGATTTAATCTTATCCAATTCTTACCAAACAACAAACAAGCGAACAGACAAACAAACGAATGAACGAACGAACAAACAAACAATCTTATCAAAATGAAAAAAAAATATTTGTCCCGGACAATCAGTGAAACGGCTTTCACGTTTTTATTTCAACTCTTCAGGCAAATGATCTCTGGATTCACGACATGTACCTGAACATCCAGGTGCCTCTGACCATCAACTCCAACGCTGCGGCCATGTTTCCATATCAAGCCTTTCCATCTCAGAGGGAACAGCTAAGGTTGGTTTACGTAATGGGCGAATCGACCAATAGTATTAGTAGTAGTAGTAGTAGTAGTTGTAGTAGTAGTAGTAGTAGTAGTAGTAGTAGTAGTAGTAGTAGTAGTAGTAGTTGTTGTTGTTGTTGTTGTTGTTGTTGTTGTTATTGTCGTAGTAGTAGCGGTGGCGGTAGTGGTACTAGTGGTGGTAGTGATGGTAGTGGTGGTAGTGGCGGTAGTGGTGGTGGTGGTGGTACTGGTGGTAGCAGTGGTAGTGGTACTAATGGTGGTAGTGGTGGTAGTGGTGGTAGTGGTAGTAAGTAGTACTAGCAGCACCAGCAGTAGCAGTAACACCAGCAGGAGCAGCAACAGTAGCAACAACTACAACAACAATAACAACAACAACAACAACAACAACAACAACAACAACAACAACAACAACAACGACAGCAACAATCAAACCAACAAAAACAAGTAAAATATCTTCATTAGCAGTGAAGCAGAAATAACAACAAGAGCATGAACAGAACAAAAACAACAACTTCAACAGGAACAACAACAAAACTCCTACAACAACGAAAACAACAACAACAACGTATCAATACCAATATTTTGCAAATGACTCAAACAGTAACCTATAATCCTCAGATTCACAGCAAAGTTCGTCCGGGGTCTATTGGACTTCAAAAGACTCACAGACACGTAAGTAAAAATTACTTGTATTCAGATCTGCACATTTTGCAATTCTTAATCTTTTTACAAACTAAAGCTCAGCCGTATTTTCTGAATTCTATGCGTGGCAGTGCAATGCAAAGAAAATGCTATAACGCAGATCCGAAGAAATCTGGCAGGAGAATGCCCTACACCTCCCCCCCTCCTCGGATGAGAAAATACTGCGAATCTTGTTTGCATATAAATGATTCCACACCGTTAGAAGGAAAGGGAAATAATGCTATTTGGAGAAAATGAAAAACTGCTGTAATATTACACGGAATGGTTTTTTTAAAGGCTGCTATGAGATGGCACGATATACAAGGAGATAGATAGAATCTTCAAATTAAGCCCAACAAAAATCCTCTAATGTCTTACTCACCCTTGAAAAAAGACACCCTTCCATCTCGTTCAACGGAAAGGAGATGAAGCGAATGGGGTGGGGTGGGGGGCACACAGACAAACAGGCATAGGCAGACCACCCACAGCTCACGAGAAATCTGCGCAGCACAAAATACGAGGAAACCTAAACTGAAAATTGAGCAAGCTTCATGGAAGAAGGGGCCAGAAGATCGAACATAAGGGGCGATATTGAGAGCATTTCAGAACACTTAGAAGGGCTAGTAGCGTTGAAAGAAGACCCCCAAAAAGGTGAAACAAGAGGAGTGTGGGTAAGAAACAAGAGGGGGACAAGGGAGGAAGGGGGGGGGTGGGGGGTAACGACTGCAGCAGATATAGAACACAAGATAGAGCAAGAGGAATCTGCTCCCTGACTGCGAAGTTCTCCCAATCAAAAACGCGTCGTCTTCGCTAGGATTCCTGACCCTTACACCCAGAACGGAAAGAAAAAGCCAGGACTAATCCCCGAGGCATTAAACTCTGCTTTGGTTTCGTGTTCAATTTACGCCAAAGCACATTTCCCCCCAGTGTTCCGTCTTCCTCCTCACTAAGGTTTCACCCTAAAAGGCGCAACCCATTGATTTCCTCCCATTGTTAAAAAGGATAATGAAGAAAGAGTGTTCTCTTAATGTAGAACACAGGCAAGAGGATAGTTATTGACAAGGGCAAACACCAATGAGAGATAACTGTTTGCCGACAGACGCGGGTGTGTTGCGATAATGTCCCTTGGTGTGTGTTCAGTTGCCAGATAAACTTGCCGGCGTCCTTAAAGAGGCGTAAGACAAGCAGTGCAATTTTTTGCGGTTTTTTAAAAAGATGGGGGTTTAAAGAAAAAAGAAGCCATTGGGAGGGGGGGGGGGGGCACAAAAGCAACATTTATTCAAGCGCCGCATAAAAGAAAAGAAAAGACGAGGTGAACAGGTAACCAAAAACAAAACAAACAAAATAATAACAATTAAAGTACGATCATGAGATAAAAGAAAAGGGGGAAAACACCAAGGCTGAGTTTGATAAGAACATTGATAAAGAGACACCATAGATGATTGATTCGTCTTCAAAAAAAAAAAGGAGAAAAAGCAAGAGAAAAAACACCCTTAAGATATTTATTGATAACGAAACTGTGAAAAGACCCTAGGGGCGAGATGTGGCAATAAAGTAATGACGTCATCGATTAAGAGAAGGGATAATCTAATTACCGTAAAGAACCTAGGACCGACGGCCACTTGATTAGACCCCAAACGTGAGTCAAGCCCGCTGGGCAGAGAACGGCCACTTTAGTTGTCACCAGATCTCGTTGGTGGGAGAAAGGCAATCCTGAAAATCGTTTGGCTGAGCTATTTAAACGGTCTTGGGAGCCCTTTTTCCTCTCCATTACTTTAGCCTTCTTTTATTTCGTGTTCATAGCAGGAAAAACACGGGCAGCAGAAGGCGTGGATCGCGGGAAGTGGGTGTGTGCTTGTTTGTGTGTGTGTATGTGTGTGGGAGTGTGTGTGTGTGTGTGTGTGTGTGTGTGTGTGTGTGTGTGTGTGTGTGTG